TGACTCTCTGGTTGTGGAAGGTGATGGCCATCTGTGCAGGGAGGACAAGGCTGGGGTGAGCACAGCTTCCACCACATCAACCTCACCTAACAGAGTGATGCCATTGGCCAGTGTGGCAGCCGCTTGGGGCTTCTGGTACCACCACTTTTCAATTTGATCCCCACAGCAGCCCAGCCTCAGCTCCCTTCCCCGCCCCGACCTGCACTTTGCCCTTGTGGCACGTTCCTGTAGCCGAGGACTTTGGAAACCCCTGTCCCAGCCGGGCTCAGCCCGAGGCTAGTGCCCAAAAGCATGTCAGTGACATCGGCTCTCATAGGTCTGGTGGTATTTGTTTTTTTTGTATTGATCTCCAGGAGGCAGGTGAATCTCAGCTCTTGTTTGGGGGTGGAGGCTGGGAGGAGCAACGACTCTGGAACAGTCTCTGCTGTGGAGCTATTGTGGAGTAGTTATTCTGTTATAGGTAGGCCGCTCGATTCCCCCCATGCAGAGAAGCTCCCTGTATCCAGTTCTCCTCAGGTGATCTGATGCTGACGCCGAAGAAAACTTGACAGACTATGTTTAAGGGTCTGTCTACGCTGAGTCCAGCCCTGCTGTGTGGGAAGGTGACACAACTGTGACTTCAAGGGCTCGGTCCGGGCTGTGCTGCGATGCTGCCCGGCTGGCAGATCAGACCAAAGGAGCCAGGGCAGAAGATCTGCTCAGCCGGCCCAATTCCCAGCTCCCCAGAGGCCCCGTGACGCCAGGTGGAAAAGTCTGTGCTGCTGGCCAGAGCACAGGGGGTCAGCTGGGGGGCATGACCGGAGAACGCTGTGCTGTGGCTATGCCCCATTCCCTAGAGGGGCCAGCGAACAGAGCCCCCGAATCCACCTTATCCTGCCCCCTTCCCCTGCCACTGCATGTCCTCCCATGATGCACCAGGCCATGATACATGCACCAAGAGAGGAGATGCTGGTGCATCCTGGGAAATCTGGTTCATGGGATGCCTGATTCTCCTCTGTACCCCCAGGACTCAGTTCAGACTACACCTCCCATGGTGCCCTGCAGCTCTGATGCACCACACCCTCACCCAGAAAGGATACCTGGCGCTTGATGGGAGATGTAGTTTGGTTGCCCTAATCTCCCATTCTCCTCTGTAGGCTGGTCTCATGGGAGGTGCAGTGCAAGCAGTGAGACCAACCCATAGAGGAGAATGGGGAGGATGAGGAGCCCGAGCTACAATCCCCATGATGCAGCAGCAGGGACTCTCCTCTTGGGGAGAGGAGTGGTGGTGTCTGGTACCTGCAGTGCATCATGGGATGTGTAGTCCAACCAGATGCCCAACCCGTAGAGGAGAATAGAGATGAGGTGGACGAAGATTTCTTCCAGCAACTAACGGAAGTTACTAGAACACAGGCCCTGGTTCTCATGGGAGACATCAATCACCCTGATATCTGCTGGGAGAGCAATACAGCGGTGCACAGACAATCCAGGAAGTGTTTGGAAAGTGTAGGGGACAATTTCCTGGTGCAAGTGCTGGAGGAACCAACTAGGGGCAGAGCTCTTCTTGACCTGCTGCTCACAAACCATGAAGAATTAGTTGGGGAAGCAAAAGTGGATGGGAACCTGGGCGGCAGTGACCATGAGATGGTCGAGTTCAGGATCCTGACACAAGAAAGAAAGGAGAGCAGCAGAATACGGACCCTGGACTTCAGAAAAGCAGACTTTGACTCCCTCAGGGAACTGATGGGCAGGATCCCCTGGGAGAATAACATGAAGGGCAAAGGAGTCCAGAAGAACTGGAAAAAGAAGAACAGGAGTACTTGTGGCACCTTAGAGACTAACAAATTTATTAGAGCATAAGCTT